AAATCGAGACCTCTTATTCTGTATAGATTTGGAAAACTTTTTAAAATACACAAGACATTTGGCTCCGTGGTCTAGAGGTAACGTACTTGCCTCGAAACCTCGGGGTCCCGGGTTCGACTCCCGGTCGAGGAACTGGGATTTTTCTGTGAGAGAGATTAATCATAGTATACTCGGATATTGGGTGTGTGTCCATTGTCTCTAAATGTGTAGCCCTCTCCCACACAAGGTCATTCCAGACCTTCAGGGATAAAGGGGGTTGTAATTTCATGTGGTGTGTTATTATTATTATTATATTATTTATTTAATCAACACTATTTTCGAAAGTAAAGAATTTGTTAAAGGTTAAATTTTCGAAAAGTCGTAAAATGTACATATATACATACGTGTATTCATCTTATGACAGGTTATTATTTAAATTTTAATATTTATAATAAAAATAAGTCACAAGAGTGGCAGGCAGACTTCCTTCCAAATGAAAGGAGAGCTTCGCGTAGTAGGGACCTTTCGTTTTCAATATTAACGTTACAGGTTATGTGTGCTAATAAAATATGTATGCTTCTTTAGTTTTCATTAATAATGTAACCCCATATTTTTGTTAGTTTTTAAAAATATGTTTGAAAACTTTTCTATAAGAACACAAAATATTCATTTCAGTTTGGGGTAGTCGAGGCAACAATCTATGAATATTTGCTAGGACAATTTTCAGGTGCACGCGTTTTGTTTTTTTACCAGCTTTTTATAGCTTTTATCATACTTTATAAAAATATAGGAGATACCATCATAAAATATATGTACCTATTGTTAGTTAAACACAAATAAAACGCTGTAATTTTTTCCACTTTCTATCATTCGTCAGCATGGGATTCAAATGTGGTGGCATAAGAGTGATAAAAGTGTTTTTATATAAATTTTATTTAAACGACATCCTATAAATTTTCAATGCCAATGTATTACAAACTCTCAAGGTTAAACAATAATAATTATTGTAAACACGTTGAAATGTTACAGGTCATATAGTCTATCAAATGGAAATTGCTAAGAAATAATTAAGTTTTGACTTTTTTTTTCAAAATCTAAATCCAGGTGATAAATTAAGGCGCACCCTTACCAGTGGATGACATTTTAAAAGCAAATCAAACGTTTCGATTATTATTTATTATAATAATTCCGCTTTTGTTGATTGCTTCGGCAAACATGAAATATGAACTTTAGTACCAGTATTTATACATATACAGGGATTAATGAAAATATGTAGACAAAGAAAAAGCTATAGAAGAGAAGTTGATATGTTCATCATTTGTAAACATATGGTAATATTTATAAATCTATTATAATGCACGTTTTCGAATTTTCAAAATATATATTTTTAAAGAATATTTTTCGTAGATCACAATTTAACAATTATTGGAAAATTATTCAGTAAATATTAAAAAGGCTTTAATAAAGGTCAGTTCATTTTACATCATACTTGGTTTGTATTTTCTTCTCATCAAAATTGAGGAGTTATTAAAAATGGCGTATTTTTGGAAATGTTTCGGAAATGTAATCAAAAACAATTAAAGTGGTCAATAGGTATTTCAAGATCAGAAATAACGATTATAAACTTTAAGTTGGTATGGATAATGTTGAAAATGCCGATAATTTTAAATAGTTTTGACCATCCCTCTAACTAGTATGGAATCATTGTCCTTGGCATATCAAAAATATGTGAGCAATAACTGATTCTGAGATCAAATGAGGTTATCACCAGCGACAATGAAGACGACCGCGACGGCGACAACAGCAGACAGACTGACATTTTAATAAAAATATCCAGTTTGGTTTTTGGATAATTGTATTATTTGCGTCACGGAAGTGCAGACCTAGATGTGGCACGGAATTGCAAACATTTAAAAAATTTCAGGGATTACCTTTATTATTGAAAAAGTGTCTTAGCATTATTATTTATAAAAAAATATTTTGTGAAAAATACCGTTACAAATCTGCACTATAAAGTATAAATATAATCTCTATATATGTAGATAATACCTTATCTCACTGTGAATTTTGATAAAAGTAACAGATTTCATTTATGGTGGACCCGACATTCTTAAACTTTATGAAGAGCGTAATAGGATCTTCTAAAATAACGTAATCTGATACTTAAAGAAAACCACATCTCAACATACGGATTTGTTCGTTTCAGTTCCTGCCTTTGCAGCATATGTATACGAGGGAGGGGCAAAAATTAACATGTCTCACAATAAAGAAAAGATTTCATTGACCAGGGACGTATTCAGTTATGTATTTTAATTTAAGTGCTGGTAGTTAGCTCCCAGTCCGTTAATCTATACTGATTTTGTGACAAAATATAATTTTCTGTCATTCTCTTGTGAAAATACCTTTGTTAGTTATAATATTTTATAAAGCCAACGACTACTTAGTCTCTTTTATGGGACAATACGATTCTAATCTTTTGCGTATCATTTAAAGCCAAGCTTGTTACCGTCTGATAAAAACTGTAAATTTATAATTATCACGTGTTTGGAATAAATAAACAAATAATTATTTCTTTAACTATAAAAAGCTCCAAACAATATAACTAGTAATGGCAAAATTTTTATTTTGTTAAAAAAAATTGCTTCTAATGCACACAGATGACAAATAAAAATGTTTCTTTTTTTGTCTATTTACATAGATCAATTCCATTCTTGCTATTCGTTTATTATATAACACTAATCGGCCCTCCCTCGTAAACGCCACAATTTGGGTCACATCGCGACACTATATACATTATATATCTTGTGAAGAATATATCTCCATCGCAAGAAAACATTTTCAATTTCCCTTGTTTATAGAAAAAAATTCATCCGTAATCCCTGATGTTAATAACCTATTTTTTTTTTCTAGTTTAAGAAAACAGGATATACGTTTAATTTATTATTTTTTAAATATAACCTTGTGTAAATTGCAAAGCTTTAGGTAACAAAGCACATGGACGACATGCATACTTTATTAGCTGTGAATCATATGCTGTAAATAGGTCGTCGGAAATTAAAAAAAAAAAAAAACTAATTTCGCACATTTTACGACGATTTTTTTTTTCAACTATTCGGTAAATGTGTGTACAAGTACTAACAATAATTATTAGTGGTGTGGCACAGATTTTTTTAAACAAAATTCAGAAAATATTGACATTTTGAAGCTAATACCGATAAAAACGTAAATCCAAAATGTATATAATAATTTATATAGATGAACAATTTCCAAAATAACTTTTAATTATGCATTAAACCCAACAGACTAGGTAAGAAATCATAATATATATCATTTCATTTTTGGTAATTTTAAGGAAAAATTGGTCCCTTTTCATTTCTATTTATGAGTATTTTAAGATCTGTTTACAAGTATCATTAGTTTGCGTATTTATAATTTATAAACGCTGTGGAAATGAAATGCAGTAATAATTTTTTATTATTAGAAAACAAACGAAAGTTGCTGCAAGTAAGAATAATGGCGAATGCGAAGGGTGGACGGGTATTTCGGTTAACATTCGATTTTTAAAGGCATAATATGATGTACTGCCGTTTTTAACTCATGAAGTGAAATTGTTTTAGGTCCTCAATTAAGCCGGTATATGACCGGGCTTAACAATTTAGAAGATTCAATTTAATGCCATCCTAGAACACAAATGTCTTTTGAATTAGTGTCAGTTTTTGACGCAGAAATTGGTAAATTTGCATACAGTTGCAGATTACATCAAACATTGAATATTTTTTCTAATATTTTACTTAATATACCAGCAAGTTTGTGTTAAAAATAACTGCATCATTTGCAAGATTAGCATTAGTTATTAGCTAATGTAGGGCCTACTGAATATCAGTACGAAAGTGTATGCATTGTTTTCTAAAGCCGGCCGAACGCATGGCTTTTAAAATTTGAAGGCCTTAAAATATTTTTTCCTTTTATTTTGTATCTTTAAATAGACCAAGTGTATTCACCCAGTTCTGCGTGTTCTTTTGAAACGTGGTGCAGTCAATATTTTACCGTCCGAGCTCTTCACTATTTTGTAAATTACGTTGAAATAATCAGCACCCAGCACCAGCAGTGCACTATGTGGAGGTGGAGGACGTTTATAGTTACTTTTATAATATTTTTTCTGGTTCAGCAAACTGGGGCAAATATTTGGTGGGAAGTAATTGGAGTCGCAAGGAATGTGCTTTATCCGCATACTGTTATGCAAACAGACGAATTTTAATTTGTATTTTAGAGAGAGAGCATTTTAAGTTAAATTTCGATATTTATTTGTTCGCCAGAGATCTATTCTTTTTTCACGTGCTGCTTTATTTGGCAAGTTAGGTATACATTTTTTTTCCTTCTCGAGCCGTGCTCGGTTTATTAATCACGAACATGTTTTGGCAGATTTTAAACTATGAATTAAATTTTAAGTTGGAGGTTTGCCAAAAAACGGTGTTAGTGAGCTTTGTGCGTCTTACTGGTAAATGATCTGATATTTAAAAATCCATAAAATACTTTTACTGCTTATATTTAAGTAGGCAGAATTTTATAAACCAGGTACGTATACTAAATACTGTATGCGGTGTTTTGTTTTGTATCGCTGAACAATAATTTTTTATGTGTCCGTGCATACACAAATTTTCAAGTAAAGCGTAGTTGACTGTGTGATTCAGAACAAACGTTCCATTAGAAGAGAAAAATTGAGCTGAAAGTTGATGTAATATGATCAAATTTATCTTTTTTTTTTTTTTTAAGATCAGGTCAATTGCACCGCAGGGATGCCGTAAGTACGGGAAGATTTACCCATTACCCTAAAATTAGAGACCTGTGATATGATTGTGGTGCATTGAATTCCATAATTTTATTGTTCGTTTAAATTAAACACCACAGGTAATACAATGCCCTGTATCCCTCAGGGTACCTTGTGTGGGAGAGGGCTACACATTCGGACACCCAATGTTTGAGTATGCTAGGATTAATTTCTGGTTTATAAAAAATGTCAGCTCTTCGACCGGGGATCGAACCCGGGTCTCCGGAGTGAGAGGCGAGTGTCCTCACTACTTGACCACGGAGCCACACGTTCATGATAGAAAGAATTTCTGGTAAAGTATACTTAGTACACTTATAGAGCTCCAGGACAAAACAGTGAGTTACAAAATTATTTCTAGTGGCATGGGGAAAAAAAAGATGCTCGTGGTGAATTCTTTCCGATAATATATATTGGTATTCACATTCATAGATATATGAATCGATAAAATGAGCTGCACAAAGGAAAGACTTTAAGCCTTCAACAGTAAAAGCAATCAAGGGATGCCCACAAGAAGGGGTCCTTCGTCCTTGCTATGGTCTATAATTATCGATGAACTTGTCACTAAATTAAGCGACTCTGGATTTGACATCCAAGAATACGCTGATGCCCTAGTCATTATAATAAGAGGCAAACATGATATGATGATCTCAAGCCTAATGCAAATCGCACTCGATCAATGTCACCAAAACTTGGTGTTCGGTTGAGAGTTTACACGTTAATCCAAGCAAAATAGTCATTATGCCATTCACAAAAAGAAGCCTTTTTCTAACAGCCCCAAAAAACGAATGGTGTACAAATTAACTTCTCTAATGGGGTAAAATATCTAGGTGTAATCCTAGACAAAAAAAATTACCTACAACAAATACCTGACAAGAGTTACTAGAAGAGCAAAACTTGGGGTCTAAAATCAAAAATAATCCATTGGTAATACTTAATTAACAATTGTCAGGCCCATTTTCACATATACGTCACTAGTAAGGTGGTAAAAAACAAAAGATAAAACGACACAAAGCAAGTTGCTAAAAGTGCAACCAACGGTTAGCGTCCCCTGGAATCACTGCAATCCAGGAAATTCAAACCAGGCGATCTGGTTTGACATATGAGTATTCCGAATGGATTTCAATTAGTCTCAATGACCAAACCTACTGACCCAATGCCAATGAGACTCCAATTTGAGCGGATATTTGTAGTGGTAATAACGGATCGCCTGGAGGACTCAAATTTGAAAACGGATTCCTTATCTGGTACACAGATGGATCAAGGATGGAGGAAGGAGTAGATGTATGGGCCCAGATATAAGCTATAAAAAGTCTTAAGGCCAAACTACCACCACATTTCAGACGGTAATTTGCGTCATAGAAATCTGCGCTCGAGAATACATTAAAAAAGACACACGAGGAGCAAGAATCTTTACGTTCTCAGACAGCCAGGTGGCACTTAAAGCTTTAAGTTCCTTTCCTTGTACGTCTAACATAATCTGGGAATGTCTATAAACAGTAAAGCAACTGGCAAGGAACAACAAGGTTATCTTGATGCGGGTTCCGCTGCATGAAGGAATATAATGGAACCAGATTGGTGAATCTTGCGAGAAAATATCGTCATTCATCGGACCAGAACCGTTTTGCGAAATATCTAAAAATCACATAACAGACCAGATCAAAAATGGGAAAAGGAACATAAATCCTCCTGCTGGAAGTTAACGCTAGGTCGAAGACGAGTTACTCGAACTCAGCAAACCAGAGTTAAGGATACTAACAGGCCTTCTCACAATCATTGCCCATTGAGATACCATCTCAAAAAAATGGGCAAAGCTGAAACCTGTATGTAGCTTCTGTGCAGTTGAAGTAGAAATTGCGGAACATATACATTGCTCATGCAAAGTGTTAAGCCGTCAAAGGCTACGACATTTGAGGCACCTGTCAAAGAGGGACCATATCCCCCAGGAGGAATTAATGGGTACATCTAAATATAAGGGTTATCACGAAAGATCTTTTCAGGTCACAGTGAAAGGAAACCGTGAGGGCCTCAACGACCCGCTCGTAATTTAATCTAATATTGATTTTTGCTTTCTTGTGGTTGTAAATGCTAAACATATGCGGACACAAGACCGCCCCTTGGTGCACCCCTGCTTCCATAACTCTTGTCGTCTGCGTTCTCACTTCCAACCTCGCGGAGAGTCGCCTCCTGCGAAGATAAAAATTCATGAGCTTTGGTTACTACACAAGACCATCATCGTGTTCACACTAGATCGAACGCCTTGGCTAAGATATTTGAAACTATCTAATTATAAAACAAAAACAGATAAAAATGCCCCCCCCCCCAATGTTTAACTAAGTGCAAGTAGAATATCTAAATATGGAATCGAATATTTTAATTACATGTTATACTGAGTATTCTAACAACAGCCTTTCTTTGGGCAGCATCGTTGTCTTCCGTGAACCAATTTTTTTAAATATAATGTCATGTTTGAATTGTTGCCAGAATTACAATGTAAATATCTTTGGATGTTTGAAAGGAAGCAAAAAAATGAAACAAACAAAAAAATATTTGAGAAGAATAAATGAACCTGAATCACTAGAGCGTAATTAATTTTTATAAATAATATATAAAAAAAAGAAAATTATTAAATCTTGAGTAAATAAAGTTTTTTTATTACATTATTTTTTTCCAGAAATCTCTGAAATGATGTCTTTTAAGGACATTTTTTATAATTTTGTTGATATCATGTTTTATTTAGATTTGTTTCGATTGTAAATGAGATGAATCTACAACATCAAAGAAATCAAACCGTATTTAGGTATCTGTGTTTAAAGAACATTTTGCTGTGTCAATTTAAGTTTTGTAGTCGTTATTATTTTAGAGTTAAATTTGTATCAAATCGAACATATTTTCGGCACTTGGTGGATAATGCAACAATTTGAACATTATTGCTAAGGGCTAGTTCTCCTTCAAGATTACAACAGCGAATGAAAACCCAAAATTTAATGAAGAACGACTAAATGTTATTATTAAAAAGTATAAACAAACTGGGCTAAAACATTACGAGGAAATGAAAATTATAAATGAGTAAGTCATCATTCATAAGTCCTACTCATAAAGCAAAGCTAAAAAGCTGCTGGCTGCCGGTGAGGTGAGAGTCCCCAGCCCCGTAATCTGTGCGGGGGTCGGTGAACAACTCTGAGCAGTACATTTGGCACGTGCTGACTTTCTTGGTGGCTGCATGGCGGGGCGGAGAGAAGTTCGGGCGCAGGCATCACACTCGCAGCTCTGAAATCTGAATACATTAGCGCACGTTTTCATGTATACTATGTCCATGCACGCATTCATGTTTTCAAATAAATTTCACAATTTTAAAACACAATCAACAATGTTATTTATTGATATGCATGGCTGAAAGTTTGGTTTTCTACATTTCTCAAGAATGTTAATACACCCTAATGATAAGATTCAAATGATTTGACCGCCGAGCTTCCAGATGAATACAATCTAACCGATTGTAATAATAATTAGAGATCGGGAGGTCGCTACCTCCTAAATGACATTAATTCCAGAGCTGCCGCGTATAAATATGTTCATGCATATATGACAATATCTTACCTTATGGTTATTTTGGAGCAGAGGGCTGAAAGTATTTGTGAATGTAACACTAACACATACACACACACGCGCACACACAAACACACAGTATATTACACCCAACCATCATTTCCACTAAATCTAAATTAAAATGTTTTAGGTGTTTCTTAATGTTTGCTTTGACGTTGCACGAAAGCACTTTACAGCTTATGCAATATAGTTCTGTGCCATTAAGTTGCAACTCCGGGAAATTACTAATCCACAAATCGTTTCATCCTCTGAAGAAATTGAAGAAGACATTCAAAAAAAGTTAACCTCCGCTGTCTTTAATTTTGCATTGTTTACGTATCTACATAGTTCTAATTCACATATATGTTTTATAAATACTACATATTTAGAGTGGTGTTCATTTTCAACATGGTGAAGTGGGCGTAAATGTGATAGACAATTAGACCACACGATCCGCGTATGCATTACTATTGGACACTCGATAATAACGAGCTTTTCCCGTCAACATATGACGGCCAGTAAGTAATTATTTTTTGTAGCCAATTACATGATAATTTTTTGTTCCTATTTTTATTAATAAGAATAGATTTATTGCATAATAGGTACATAAGAATATTTTATCATTTCACATTGTTTGGGAATGTTTCATCAGGTGTTAGAATATAATAATATATTTGCGTAAAAGTCGTCTCTGAAATGTTTCGCCATCTCCCGATCACTAGCATTAATAATTGAATCCGCTTACTGCGAAATAGTATTTCACTAAATGTAGCATTTCGAACATTTATTTAAAATTGTAGGGCCCCCTGTACTCTCACGAATATAATTTTCATTCAGCTCTTAACTGTGTGCATATAAAGGGAACTGTATCTAAAACTAATAACTACTAAAACGCTAATAATTTTCACTTAATCCAAAGTCGCCCCATACAAATGGTTGGTAACTCTACTGTTGTGAATTCACGTTTCTCTAAAACATCGTCGTATTGTTGATGATTTCAGTGTTTTCAATCATTATTTTCATTGAGATAAAGCACGTAGCAACTCTTTATTTTGCCTTTAAGTTCCATGTCACTTTACCAGACATACTTTCTACACCGAATAGCGGAATTATGAAATTCATTGCCGAATCAAGTTTTCCCACGAAAAATATGTATGACTGAGGATCTTTGCCGTATTTCTCTGGCCAAACATCTTTTCCGGAATTTATTATATTTTTCCCGTTTCATCGTGCATATCATACACGGTCAGTGTTTTTGATATGCGCAGTTCCGTGTATAAAAGCCCCAGCGGATGATCGAACCGCTTTAAAAATACGGATAAGACGAACTTATATTTATCTTATATTAAATAAAAAATCGTTTCCTACACTATTGACTTCAATACTGAGAATTAATTGGTGGATTTAACTTCCGCTCGTTGTTGACATAATCTGTTGTTATTTATTCGTTTATTTCCAATATCTGAACGACGTGTTTACAAACAAATCTTATTTTTTTATACGGTACATTAACTCCTCTGATCTTTTATTATTATTAAATACATATATAATACGATTACGTAGGCAATGAATTTCTTGCGGTAAATAAAAATAAGAAAGAAAGAAACAAAGTCTCATATTCGCATAGCGATTTTGTTAATTCTATTCAATTTTCGTATCTTTTTTTTGCAGATGAGA